CCCCCCCCCCCCCCACCCTGTAACTTTCTGTAACTTTCACTTTTCAAACAGTCTTTTACATATTCTTGTTCATCTATGTCAAAGCTGTTGAAATAATTGCTTTTGTAATTACCTGTGGTCTTTTTATTAGTTTTAATCACATTTAATCCAGCCCATTGAAATACAATGTGAAAATCTACAATACACCCGCAGTCAATAACTTGCCGCGTTTTCGTTGGCTAACTCTAAGGTAATTTTATGTCTCCTCAAATCTGACGTTCCACTGTCATAATTAATTCATTATGGAAATTTAAAAAGAAGCTGGGTAATGAGGAACATGGACCCCTACAACCAGTTCATCTCTTCAGAACTCTTTTCCATGTGAAAAAGATCAGAAACGAAAGAAAGGATTATTTAATAGTTTTATATGGCAATCAATAGAAATAAAAGCATAACGGGGCATGTAAGAGTTCAAATTTATCTATATTTGTGTTTGAAAAATGAACTGAAAAAATTGACCTAAAAAGGACTAGACTTTTTCCCACCTGTTTCTTCTGTACACCATCTCGGCTCATAAAATTTCTATAACAATTATCTCGATTTTCTTGTGTTACACTCATACATGATTTGAAAATAGGATTTATGTCCAACAGAATGGTAAATTGTGTCCGATATTTAAGGCTGGCGATGTACTGTTTACAGTATCATCTCATAGCACTCAAAAATGTGACACGGGTGCAAACGGCTGAATTACGTTGTGAGTCTCAGCAACCACAATGAACAGGCTCTGCACCATATTTTGGTGATGATCCATTAATTCATTTATTAATTAATTGTTTAATAAGTTTATTTATTACTTAGCTATTAACAGATTTTGTTGAAATTTACAGGATAGGTCACAAATGGGCAAAGGAAGAAATGGTTGGATTTTGGTTGTGTTCCATTAATTAATTACTTGAAAATTAAATTTCCAGGATAGCTCACAAATGGACAATGGAAGAAGATTTTGGTAATGATCCATTTATTTATTATTTAATTAATAAATTAATCGATCATGGAACTCCGCAAGGACAAATAATTTAGTATTAATTAATTAAGAATACTGAATAATACTAAATTATGTCCTTGCGGAGGTTGCGCTCTCTGGTTTTCTTCTGCTCAGGTGCATATTTTAGTATTAATCAATTTATAATACTAATACTTAATTAATGATACTTTATAATACGCAATTATTTGTCCTTGCGGGGGTTGCGCTCTCTAGTTTTCTTGCACTGAGATGCATATTTTGGTGTTTGATTTTTTTCTTCCGATGTGTAGACATATCAAAGTTTGCACACAGTTTTACAGAGCGTTGTTTTCAGTCGTTAGCGTTTTTTTTTTTTTTTTTTTTTTTGTAAATGTTTTAGCCATAAATAAAATCCTCATTTCAGTTACATCCACTGTTAGCTAGACGAAATGGTGACAGGGCATAGTCAAGCATTTTACACAAAACGCGACAAAACTGCATTCTCAGAGAAAGTAATTTGCAGAATCTTTTGTAAAAATATACTTGAGGTTGAGTACAAATTGTGTCAGTAAAATAACCATGCATCTCGTAATAGCCCTTAGCGCAGTTTGATTTTTCTTAGTATTAATATCGTGCAAATATTACACAAAAGGCGTGATATTTTTAAAATTTCTTTCATAAAACCTTCGTTTCTCTTCGCACTCCCCGCACTAGCAGGGCATGGATTTTAAACTTTTCTTGGATTGGCATGCGCACAAAAAGCTATATTTATCACTTTCTGTCTCCAGAGTTAAAAAAAAAGGAGAAATCGCGCTTATATTTTTAACTTCATTTTTTCCTTTTTTTTTTTCAAATGAACTTAAGCCTATATATATATTGAGTATCAGTAAATATGTATATAATATGTCTTTATTCAGGTGCGCAGCTTTTAAGTGTGTGTGTGCGTGTGTGTGTGTGTGTGTGTGTGTGTGTGTGTGTGTGAAGGGGAGGGGGCAAACCATGTGAGGGAATATAAGCGACGGAGGAGGGGGTCCGTTGGTCCCACTGCTTCCTACGCCTATATGTAGGCCCTAAACGTTACCACAAAGCCGCGTGCTAAGCGTACAATAACAATCACGAGCTTTGTTAAATATTAACACTTCTAAAAAATGCACTGACCGAATTACAGTGATAAATACGTCATATCGTCCGTTGTCTATTTGACTTTGCCAAATCTTTATCGGCCCCTTAACATCGTCTTACGCCCTCTTCCTAACTTTACTATCAGCGACAGCTCACGTAAACAACGAACCCGCCTGACTCTAGATCTGGTACGGTGTTGAGTTTAAAACGCTCTAGTCAAAGCAACAAGTCGCATTCATTGACAGCGCCCAACGTAAGCATGAAAAGAGCGGAGATCTGCGAGGCTTTAGCTCCTCTGAAGATTGTCGACTATCCTGAAGTTCCGCCCCCTCCCCCTAAAGGGGTTGTGGTTAAGGTGAGGGTCGGGACAAGGAGGGGTATGTAAATCTATTTCGAAGATCCGCGTTCATACTGCTTGGAGACATAGGACAGATGGTGAGATATCTGTATGCATTTAGATCGTTTGCACGTGTGTGCGCGTGCGTGCGTGTTTTTGAGAGAGAGAGAGAGGGATTGAAACCATGACCACCTCAGTACAAATGCACATTCATCTGAACCTCTTATATTCTGAACTGAAGTGAACTAGCTTCAGCTGATTATCAGTAAGCGCTGGTGATAATATCCACAAGTCAAAATCTGGTCACAAGTCACTGGTGATTCTCTATTCTTGATATTATTAACCCAGATATACGAGTATGTCAACAGAAGTAGAGGTGTAACGAAACTGAGGGTCCGTGTAACAGAAAGTCCACCCTCCATATAGTTATAATGGTTAGAGTTGGTCTGACCTAACTGGGTCAAAATCTGGGGCGAGTCTCACCTGAACAAATGAATGGGAAGCGGACTCTCTGTTATGGGGGACTTTCTGTCACGTTACACTGGGGGTCGTGCCATTGTCTCGTGTGCATATATAGCCTTAAACGGTATGACAGGAATGGTAGTCCGCTAGGAACCGCAGTCCGTTCGGCATTATCTAGGAGACGTTCGTCCCATATTCTGACCCCAATACTCCGACTAACACTTACCTGTAGTAATCAACCGACTAATCATATTATTGGAACCTCGGACTTTCATTTCTAGGACTGCTATTCCTGTCACACCATGACCTTTGGGAATGACATTAGTTCTTAAATTATGTCTCGTCCATAGAACATAATTACACCGTTTTGGTAACAGATTTATGCGACCGATTAATTCCTTTCTCTTTGACTCGGTTTGAATAAAAATATGATATTTCGTGTTGTTTATTATGACGCCTTCCATAGACCTTTAATATTGTTGAGATGTTGCAGCTAATAACAATGTCCAAAATGTATGCGGGAACCAAACAAGATGTTTAACTACCAGTAGCTCCAAGTGTGAGTGGAGGATTAATTTTTACTTCTATGCAATGCAATGTGTCTCAAAATGCGTGTTGTTGTTGACACTGAATGTTGAAAAGGAAAAGCATCGANTGCACTGACCGAATTACAGTGATAAATACGTCATATCGTCCGTTGTCTATTTGACTTTGCCAAATCTTTATCGGCCCCTTAACATCGTCTTACGTCCTCTTCCTAACTTTACTATCAGCGACAGCTCACGTAAACAACGAACCCGCCTGACTCTAGATCTGGTGTTGAGTTTAAAACGCTCTAGTCAAAGCAACAAGTCGCATTCATTGACAGCGCCCAACGTAAGCATGAAAAGAGCGGAGATCTGCGAGGCTTTAGCTCCTCTGAAGATTGTCGACTATCCTGAAGTTCCGCCCCCTCCCCCTAAAGGGGTTGTGGTTAAGGTGAGGGTCGGGACAAGGAGGGGTATGTAAATCTATTTCGAAGATCCGCGTTCATACTGTTTGGAGACATAGGACAGATGGTGAGATATCTGTATGCATTTAGATCGTTTGCACGTGTGTGCGCGTGCGTGCGTGTTTTTGAGAGAGAGAGAGAGAGGGATTGAAACCATGACCACCTCAGTACAATTGCACATTCATCTGAACCTCTTATATTCTGAACTGAAGTGAACTAGCTTCAACTGATTATCAGTAAGCGATGGTGATAATATCCACAAGTCAAAATCTGGTCACAAGTCACTGGTGATTCTCTATTCTTGATATTATTAACCCAGATATACGAGTATGTCAACAGAAGTAGAGGTGTAACGAAACTGACACCCCATTTCCATAGATTAGATCGACCTACTTTAGATCGACCTAACTCCCTGGGGGTTCACGCTAAATAGCTGTCAGCCGGGCGGACACGAAAGTTAATTACCCCCTTAAAGCTTGTAGTAAGCGGGATGGACATTTAAGTCGGATTATCTGAAAGTGATCTAGTGAGACTCCCCGCGGGGATAGATAGATCTAAAATCTATGGGAATAGAGCCTCAGGGTCCGTGGTAGAGGTGTAAGGAAACTGAGGGTCCGTGTAACAGAAAGTCCACCCTCCATATAGTTATAATGGTTAGAGTTAGTCTGACCTAACTGGGTCAAAATCTGGGGCGAGTCTCACCTGAACAAATTAATGGGAAGCGGACTCTCTGTTATGGGGGACTTTCTGTTACGTTACACTGGGGGTCGTGCCATTGTCTCGTGTGCATATATAGCCTTAAACGGTATGACAGGAATGGTAGTCCGCTAGGAACCGTAGTCTGTTTGGCACTACTTAGTACAGGAGACGTTCGTCCCATATTCTGACCCCAATACTCCGACTAACACTTACCTGTAGTAATCAATCGACTAATCATATTATTGGAACCTCGGACTTCCATTTCTAGGACTGCTATTCCTGTCACACAATGACCCTTTCGGAATGACATTAGTTCTAAAATTATGTCTCGTCCATAGGACATAATTACACCGTTTTGGTAACAGATTTATGCGACCGATTAATTCCTTTCTCTTTGACTCGGTTTGAATAAAAATATGATATTTCGTGTTGTTTATTATGACGCCTTCCATAGACCTTTAATATTGTTGAGATGTTGCAGCTAATAACGATGTCCAAAATGTATGCGGGAACCAAACAAGATGTTTAACTACCAGTAGCTCCAAGTGTGAGTGGAGGATTCATTTTTACTTCTATGCAATGCAATGTGTCTCAAAATGCGTGTTGTTGTTGACACTGAATGTTGAAAAGGAAAAGCATCGAAAAAACCCAACCCAATTTCTATTTGGTGTTTTCACGTTTTTTTTTTCTCCAGACCATAAATTTCAACTCAAATGGTTACTCTGCACGGCTACTCTTATTCGGATATCAGAGTTGAAAGTGAATTTAACTTGTAATTTAAATTAATTACAATGCCGACCGGTCCTACTCTCTGACCACAGTGTCCGTTAGTAGTCTGTTACAAAATTATTGTATCTCCTTTTCTTCAGTTTTGTATGCTGTACATACAACATACATGCTATCAGAATGTGATTCCGTCCTACCTTTCTCCTCAATTTACAGGAGAGCATTAAATCGCGGGGAATCTTTTAAAAAAGTGACTTTGTTATCTTGACTATGGAAGTAGATGAAATGTAACGTAACTAGCCAATAAAATTTACATGTAATTACAAGTTGGACTCCAACTCTTGGGTTTACGAATTTTATCAGCGGATCAAAGATCTTACACGATTCATCCTCAATATTACTTTATTTACGTTGGCTACTTAGAATGGATGAGAACCTTATATGGCAGGGAGGAAACATTGTTGTTCATACCCAGCTGTTAATTAAAATTTAAATAGTTTAAAGTATTTCTTATGCATCGATAGAAGTTTTTAATGATAAAACGAATTAATTATGAAATATACTTCATTACAATACATCCGTGTTCACTACTGTGAACTGGTAAACAATAAACTGTACATGTAGTAATGTAGTACTTACTTCTTGATTTAAGTGACATTTGGTGAATGAATTGGTAAGTCATTCGATGCACACTTAAATCGGGCATAAGTAAGCACTGCACCTGTGCTATATTTGTTATATTTTGCGTTTTACAGCTATTCAGACAAATATCACACTTACTCCACGGGGACTCACGCTGAATGAAAAAACACCTTTTATGGGCACAATTTGGTCGAAGGAAGCCAAGATATGTTGTTACTCCGTGCATATGTCATTTGATTTTGAATGTTCTGCTAACCCCCTCCCCATGCTCCTCCTTCCCATTCCCATTCTCAAAGGAATATAACATATATATTTATACAAATGAAAATTAAATACAGGATAATATTCCAATGTTTACTGGATTATCACACGAATAACTTCTTAGTTTCCGATGTCACAATTAATTTTGCCCTGTATTTCTTCTGGAGAAATATATATTCTTATCACGATATTAAAATTAAATAAACAGCGAAATTTCCCACTTCATCCAAAAATAAATAAAGAAATAAATAAATAGATGCCTTAGAATTACCCTTTATCCGCCAGTGAAATTGTATGTTTCCATTTCAGATTACCTACTCTGGCGTCTGCCACTCCGACGTCCACATATGGGAAGATGAGATGGACATGGGGGATGGCGTCAAAATGAAGCTCACTGCGGGGAAATTTATAAAATTTCCATTGGCACCTGGTACGTGACAGTCTGAGAGTCAGACAACGTGCGTTTGGGGGTGTCAGAATGAGTTAGTGCGCACTAGCTAGTGCTCTCTAACTCCACGGGGACTCACGCTGAATGCAATAGAATAAACCTGATTAACTAGCTCTCATGCCTGCAGATGCACCCGTACAATATACATATGCATATCAAATGTGCTGAATTGTTAACGACATGATTTTTAAATAAAATCTATTTGTAATCTTACATTACCAGGCCATGAGATCGCGGGAATCATTGAAGCGGTCGGAAGCGAGGCAGGTAAATTAAATTTATTTCTGTTAATTATCTATTTATCCCTTCTGTCAACACAACGCGTTTAATGTTCATTGGCGTTGCAATTGGTTCGTGTATTAGTATACAATACATCCTAAAAATATCTTCACCAACATTAAGCAGGTAAAATAATTATATTCAAAGTACCAATGTCATTCATTTTCTTCGCAAGAACATTTTTTTTATATGATTCAATATTTCATAATGTTATTTTAGTCTTTTTAAATTCACTTGACCGTGCAGGTTCAGAAGTGAAAGTTGGCGACGCTGTGGTTGTGTACCCGTGGCTGGCGTGTCTTCAATGTGACCTGTGCACCCACGGACAGCCCAACCTCTGCTTGAACGCGGTGGAGAGAATTGGGGCTGCAAAACACGGAGGGTAGGGAGGACAGTACAGTAATGTGATAAATAATTTAAGAACAGAAGAAGGCAAATGAGAAGTGTGTATATTGTTAATCTTAAGAGAGTTGACAATTTCATAAAGTCAACGTATGAGGTTGATAATGGAAAGTACATGTACAGAACTACATCTAGCTTCTTGTCTTGAAAATGAAGAGAGAGAGAGCTATGGCACTGTATTGTTTTCCTAATGTTCTCAGGTTCGCCACTCACGTGGTGGTTCCTATCACCAGTGGTGCTGTGGTGAAGATTCCCAAGGGTCTGGCGCCGGAAGTCGCCTGTATGGTGCCGTGTAGTGGCATCACCACCTACAACGCCGTCCTGAAGACGAAAGAAAGAGTAACCGAAATGGTCAGGATGAAAGGTAATGTATTCTTCAGAAAAGAATTACATGTGCAGTGTTATTGCACTAAGAATAAAGCAATTGTTTTAATTCCTTCAATCAACAGCTAGTGATCAAATTTCCGTTCACCTTCAATATTTCTAGGTAGACATCGAAATATTGGAGATTATCAACCATTTCGATACTAGCTGTTGATAGAAGAAAAAATTTTGCTTTATTCTATTTTTTATAGCCATGCTAGGGTGACATAAATCTATCCTCAGCCGTCACCTCCTCTCTGTTTTTCGATGTTATAAAATAAGTCTAGTAATCTAGAAAAATGATAATAAAATCTGAAAAATATAAATGATTCCAGGCAATGCCAAGCTCCTCATCATCGGTGCCGGCGGACTTGGAATGTGGTGTATTCAGTTTGCGAAGGCACTGCTTCCCCCAGAAACCAAGGTTTTCTCCGCGGATATCTCAGTGAGTGTCCAGCTTGTCATATTATTCATTTTTCATCGCACTTGTGCATCAACTTGTTTCACGCTGGACATCATGTCCAACGAGTCTTCAGTGCCACGCTCATTTTGTACTTTATAAATATACAAACGATCATTAGGGACTACTGTTACAATTTCACGGCAACCATGTTTATGTAGAACGTTCTGCATCTGACGCTCCTTCTAAGGCATCACACGCACGACACAATTTTTATGTCTCTATCTTATTACACTGACCACGTTCACAGTCACTTCACCCAACCACCCCCACCTTTCACCACCCACCCCACCCCCACTTTGGAATTTAATCGTCCTACTTTACTTCCACTTTTTTTTGTTCATTTCAGGAAGAGAAATTGCAGATGGCGAAGGAAGCCAATGCAGATGACACAATTCTATGGAGTAAAGATGGTAATAAAGAAAACGCTAATTTCATTAATCTTCTCCCTGTATGCTTTCTTCGATCCCCTACTGTTCTCAACCATGTCAGTCCTAAGCGCTTGCAAGGGATCATATCTAGCCATTTTTATGGAATCAAAAACTTTCTTTTTCTAGAAAAATTGACAAGTAAAAGATAGGCTGTGTAGACTTGAATCATTTTTTAACAATATTTTTCATAATATTTCAAGTTTTTGTTAATTTGTTAAGTGGCGACCCAGTGCTTTGAAAGATCTTTAATTTCTACTGAATTTTGAAAAAGTGTTCTGAAAAAAAAATTCTATATAATGTGGTTTCCAATTATCAAGCTAATGAGCAAGAAATCCTCGCGCAGACGATGCAGCGCTCAGGTGGAGTATTTGATGCCGTCATTGATTTGGTTGGAGCCGGAGCGACTTCTCAAAGGGCGTTTAACTTGACAGAGCGGGTAAGAAAGGCACATTCGAATACTAGAAATAAAATATCCTTCAGTTTTAATTCAAATTGTTATTAATAAAGTGAAAGAATGAGCCCGTTTTCTGGGTGTAACTTCATCTAAGATGTATTAGATAGGATAGAGATGTACAGTATGTCTTGACTTGTGCGTGTTAATTTTTAGTCAATTATATTAATATTATTAATCCTTTCTTGACAATTTTGAATTACCAACAAGACACCTTTGGTCATGGGCGAGAAATAGAACCCTTTGGCAGAATATCATCGTTCGTCAAACACCGAATCGGTGATGGCACATGAAGAAGAATATTAATGAGTGTTACAACTTTATATACCAAAACGTAATTCTTCCTGGAGATTCTTATATTTTTCGATTAATTCCCAAGATATACTCTTTCCAAAAGTGTTCACGGAATTATAATCCGTAAACCCATTTTCAGTTCTATGCATCTAGTTTTTGAGCCACTCTTGTAATAAGAACTGAGGAAATTTCCTCGAAGCATAACAAATATTGGAAAATTTGAACTCAAATTTTGAAGCGGGTTTAAGGATCGTAACTTTCTCAACAGTTTTGGGTAAGGTTTACTTTGACGATAAAGAGGAATTGCTGAAAATCCCAGAAAAATGCTTTCTTTGTAAAGGTCAGATGCACATTATTATGTCGTTAATACAATAATTGCACTCAAAAATACTTTAAATGTTATCGTTTTAGGGTGGTATTCAAGTGAACGTTGGGTTATTCGGTGGTAACATGAAGATACCGTTAATCGTCCTGGCGCTGCACACGAAGTGTGTACAGGGTGTGTGTGTTGGGGCGCCACATCACCTGGAGGACTGCCTGAAACTGGTCGCTGAAAAGAAGGTAATGAGTTTAAATTTGATCATTATAATAGTTTATTCAGAAAAAAATGCAACCAAAAGGTGGAAGTTGTACAATGTTAAAACAAATAACCTTAGGTTGTACATACCTTTTAACTATTCTTTATAAATACTCTAAACGGGGACTTAAAATAAAAAGACTTATTTATGAAAGCATTCTTAAAGCGTTCAATTTTGCATTTTGGAACTCAAATCTATTTTAGGTAAGAGTTTGAATATTGAAGTGTTTGAAGGGCTTGGGTTTATTTATTTATTTATTTATTTATTTATTTATTTATTTATTATGAAATTTCATTTATTAACTTTTTCGAATCACGCTACAGCTGTACTTAAAGGGATAATAACTCTTCGTTTCGGCCAAAAAATGAATTTTCCTGGAGTAAACAACAATTTTCCCATACTTACCAATGGTTAATGAATCCATTTTTACATTCAAAGTTAGTCCCTGGTTTTTTTCTAAAAAGTTTGTTTTTTTGTTAAAATCTCTTAAGAGATTTTAACAGAGTATAGCCATCAATGGAGGTCACGTGGTCTAAAGACAAGCTCAGATATCAGAAAAAATACCTATAACTGCCGTTTTTGTGGTAAAACAGAATATATTATATTTCTATGAGTTATTCACAATGTTTTTATTGTGAAATGTAGATCTCATACGAAGAGTTATTATCCCTTTAAATAGTTGAAACATAAACAAGAGAAGCTAGTCACCTCTGCACTGTATAATAAAAAATTAACCTACATCTGTTTCAGCTCAAGCCTCCGCCGCTTGAATTCTTTACTTTGGACCAAGCAACCGAAGCACTGACTCGACTCAAAGAAGGAACAATGAAGGGCCGCGGTATTCTGAAGCTTTAGATCGTCCTAATCCTTCCTGGAGATAGTGAATGAATTGACCTATCCAATATTTCGTTTTTACCAAATTATTCAGAGACTAAACGATTGCAGCCCTAAACGATTGGTGAACTGAGAATGAAATTAATGTCTTAGTTAAACCAAAAGTAAGCGTGAAATTGATATTCAGTTTCATAAATGCTCAAATTACGATAGCACATACAGTATATCCTACGGGAAGTGAATATCGCTTGGATAAAGTTGTAACTAGGCAGTGCTTTTAATAGACACGAGAAGCAGAAGAACTTCTACAGTATTAAGTGGAGGACTTCAGATCTTGATAATAATGATGAAATTTCGCTCTCGAATAAACCATACTTCTTTGTCCTGGTTTATTCTGTGAAATCTGGGCGATCGTTTTATATAAGACACTAATTGTCAGTGAAAGTAAGGCACCATTGATATGACTTTTTCACATTACTGTTTATTAAAATAAAATCAATATTACAATTCTTACATGAACAATGCCCGAAAAATAACGGAGAAATGCATTCCATGCTGTACCAGTTGGCCATCTGTATTTTTTTTTTAATATAGGCCCCTATTTTACTAAGATTTTTAAACATTTTTCTTCATGAACCAAGAAGGAATAATTTGCGCGTATATTGCACTGACAATTGTAGACAAGCGCAATTGATAACTATAAGGATAAAAAATTGCCATTGACATTATCCAATAATAAAAATGTCATCGTTTATGTTCGTGAAAAAAATAATAGCCAAATTACTTTTCGTGAAAAACGTGCCAAAATATGCTGCTTTGCACTGAGAAACTTGTCTCACCTACTGCAATTAGCTCTTGCAGAAGTTCACCCTTTTGGTGACGTCATTAGTTCATGTGTCTCTAGTCAGAAGCCGAAAGTTTTGAAAGGTGTTCTCGAAGAAGTGAAGAAAGAACATGTGAGTATTTAGTGTGTTCGGCACCGAGAAGAACTGTGTAAGAGTTTCTGACAACGCATACTTTAATTCCCACTAAAGTAAGAATGAATCGGTTTAAGTGTCTGTTAGATAAACGCAGCACAACCGGGAGTAAAACAACCGAGTTCTAACTTCTAGCATTCTATCACGTTGTGATTCTTGAAACTTCAAAGTGACTGAGACTAGAATCATAAGGTAAAAAGAAATCGAAATGCATGATCGTTAGGTTTTATTGATAAGTTAAACCATATGCTTGGAGTTCGATCTCCAAGGGGGATATGATGCTGTTACAAGTCATTCAGTAGATTTGTGGAATAATG